TTTTTTTCTTCAACTTAATCGCTATATGATATGTATCGAGTTCGCCACACGTTCCTTGTCATGCACATTTCCTATGTTCTCCCACTTTGGTTAGGGTGGCTCTCGCGGGAATGAGATGAGCGGGTGAAAAGTATGCTCGCGCAAAGACGCTCAGGAGGAAGAATGAAACGAAAGAAAAAGAATAGGTCGCGTGAAATATTAATAGACGATGGAAATTAAAATTAGAATCCACCATGTGTTATTTACGATCGTGTGACATTGGCTGCTCACCAGCCGTAGCGATGAATCCCGATGACGTTCTTTGCTTTTTCGTTTTTCGTAGAGTGAAATTCTCCGACTGAAATTTCTGATCTCTTAGTAAGCCGACTAAGGTAGGAAGACTTTCGAGTTAAACGTCGTTGATGTATTTTGTCCCTTTGGTGGCGATGTTTGCTTGCCGCAAATCGCACGATTATTACAAGTAGAGAGCTAATTGTTGACGCGAAACAAGACACCGATAACTACGGTTGGTATTTATTTCGAGCACACCTTTCACCGTGTAACAAATTTAACAGATGCCGTGTAACAAATTTACCAGGCCTGACAACCATTTTTCTTTTCTCTACGAAAGCAAATAAAACGCCAGAAGCACTCGTCTTGCGTCGACGTCCAACGAAATAAATCATTTGAAAATCTCAAGCGTTAAATTCTGTCTATCTGTGCATCCGATCATTCGTTAACATTTGGATGATTAATTCGATAAATGACATAACATCGTGCCAGAGAACTGCGTGTGCATGTTTGTAGCTAAACAATGAGGCAGCAAACCTCACGGTGTTTGCTGTCATCACACGTATCATCGCGTGTTCCGATGACGACTATAACTACGATAACTCGTGTCGTGCGTGTAGTCGCCTAAGTCTACTTGATTCGCGGTGGAAGGTGTCGTCGAAAGTCATCCGTGAGGGGATGAGAAAACGAAGCACTCCTGTGACACATGCTCATTCTGACGCACACACACTTACGATTAATAACGTAATCGTGCAAACGATTACGCAACGATACTGAGCTAGAAAGCATTCTGAGATGCATACAACGCTACGCCTTACGATTTATTAATTTCATTGAAGGTACAACATTATGTATAGCTTGTGCCTCGGGAAACGAGATTCCGCATCGTTTAGGCTATTTTATATTTGCACATTTACCCGAGCCAAGATCGAAACAGAGAAACGCCGTCGAGTGAAAAACCTTTTGAGAGGTTCAACGTTCGATTCAAATCGCCCTCGAGTCGAGCCTTCGCTTTGTACAAGGTCGAATTGAGTGCGTTTAAAGCGATTTTACTTTTCTTCCTTTTTTCCTTTTCACTAAATGAAACTGGCACTAAACTTCTCCACTAAATGAAAGTAGTAAGAAAATAATTGGTTGGCCCGAGAATTTCTCGATGTTGCATCGGGCAAACGCGCAACGTTCGATAGTGTCACGGAAGGCTCTCCCGGCAAATAATGGTCGCGGGCCACGCTCTCTGTCGTCACGGACCCACTTAATCATCTTCCATTATCAACAATATCATACACCTATCACGGGTAAACGTGTTCTTCTCTGTTTACATAATAAAACAGTATTCGATTTAAGCTACTCGATAGTCTACAAGTAATTACAAGTACGTGTGAAATGTTTTACAGATACAACACGCAACGAGCAACGTTCAGCCTAGAAACTGGAAAAACAACGAACGAGCGAGAGGAGACTCCTGTTTTGTAATACTCACACGCGAGAGAAACAGAGAGAGATAGTATTTACAATGATCTCTAGCGATCCGCGTGACAACTGTCGTCAGTCGAATTCTAGGTACGCAACAGTGAAATAGAAATCGTCAACGAAACGGAGAGAAGCAGAGGGTAATACGATTTTTTGCACGTCAAGATATACACGTAAATAGTTACATCGAACTGCTTGCATTCGAGGACGCGGCCGTGATTCGCGTTTCACCGAATTCCCGAATCCATACGATGAGAAATTGGCAGCCTCCTTCGAACGATTTCTTCTTTCTTTCTTTTTTTTTTTTAATCGTGGAAGTCTCGACTGGCTGCTCGGAGAAGATAGAATCTTGGAACAAAGTCTCGCTCTCATCGATTCGTATTCGACAGTCGATGAAACAGCTACTCGTGCCGTGGAATGCAAGTCCTTGTACAAGGATATGAGTTTTTCGTTGAAGCGACCCCGCAGATCGTGTTGTGCCGTGCTACACGTGTCAGGTATATTAAATTTATATAGATTCTTGAGTTACGAGAGACATGTCGTCTGTTTTGCTGTACATCGTGGTCTTTTATGCGTATACGCTAATATCACGCGATAGTCCACGTGGCTAGTGGCGATCGTGCGATCGACCGGTTGCCTCTCGAATTTAGTCAGAGTGTCGTCGACAGCCGAGATTCCGCGAGACGAGCCGTATTCCACGTGTCACGAGCCACTGGACACCCTAACAAAATATCTTCGTCGGATGGCATTTCCTTCGATTCGCGCGTGTCGTCGAGAGATTCGGTCCTTCGCGCAATGTAGGAGCTTCGTCTCGTATATATTTTCGCAGACGCAAATCTTATCCAATCGAAGCTGCCCTCCGGTGCCTCCCGCGCGATACGACGCGCGTCTCGCCGAATGTTTTTCATCGATTACGTATTACCGTTATGAAACTCGTGTTTCCAGCAGTTTTTTTCTCTCTCTTTTTTTTTTTTTTAATCGTAAACAACAACATTGTAGTGTGCAGGCACTTTTGAATCGTCGTTCTATCGATCAGTCTCACGATCAATTCTCTTTCCCTCCCACTCCCCCCTTTCTTTTAACCTTCGACGCTGCACTTTACCCTTTCGATGCTTTCTCAAGCTTGATAATCGAATCTCCAGCACCGAGAAGACTCTGACCTGTATCGTTCGTATTTGTTCTTTATACCGCAACTAATTCGTTAAAATATTTTACGTTCGACGCTATCGGGCTTTTTTTTCTTTTTTTTTTTTTTTTTTTTTTTTTTATTATACCTTTCGCAAAATGAA